TCCCCTACCACGGATGTGGATGATTCTTCTGCTGATATTGACCTCAACCTCAGCTTGTGAAGCAACGCGTTTCTCTTTCTCTTAACTTCTTTCTTGAAAGGAAATGGAACAAGTTAACGCGATTTGATGAGAAGGAAAGTGGTTAAGGTTAATGGGATTCTTGAATCTCTTGTTTGGTGTTCGTTTCCATATTTTTATGGGGTTTCAACCTTTTTTTTTTTCCTCATCTTACTAAAATTAAAGTGAATGGTGATGATGATGATGAATCATGAATGTTAGTTCCCTTAGCTTTGTTCTTATGTATGAAAGTAGTAATTAAGTAGCATTTTATGATATGTACATTCGATCGATCTTGATGATATCTTTTTTCTCGATCTGTTGTAATTCAAACCTGCAGATTCCAACATCTCTCTTGGTTTCCATTTTTCTGTCTTTTTTGTTGAAGGAACGAAACAATTAAAATAAAAAATCATGAGTAGTTTTTGACAGTTTTATTAATCAAGACTAATATTATTCTAGAAAGCGATGCTCTAAAACCTAGTATTGGCGGCATATGGAAGAAAAAAAGAATTCACGCCATTATCATAAAACTTAATAATGTTCTTAGTAAAGCTCTCAAATTGTTGACATGTCAAAATAAACGTAGTTACATATACCAAATTATTGGAACAAAATAATAGTAAGATTTTATGTAACGGTTTTGATGGGAAAGAAAAAAAAAAGTCAGCACCACAAAGACATTATAGAAAGCGATGCAATAGAGGTACCAATAATAATAGCATGAATTAATGGTTAGATTAAACAAAAGTGCAATTAATAACTCTTTACTCAATTGAATTCATAATTTCTTAGGAGTATATAAACATATGCAATTAATGGTTCATACTCAATGACATAATTGGCATTCATGTAGCTGATGGTGCAAAACTTGAGCAGACAAATGTTGATTGTTGATTGTTGATTGCTGATTGCTTTTGACGGGCCACAACTGACTAGAATTTGATTTCACAAGTTCCTTACACAAGTCACGGTGATCCAGAAAAGACACTCTTCATACACTCTTCTATCATGATAGCATGAATCCCCTTTTTGTCCATATGCCGTCAATGCTAGTTTTTAAGTATCGCTTTCCACAATTACTTTGTAGAGCAATGCTAGGGGCACTCGCCTTTTGCACTCTCCTGCCAACACTTTCAATTTTATTGGGCCACGTTATTTTCGTTTGTCAGAGGTTGCACTTTACAGCTCAAAAGAGGCTTACGTGGCCCAATGAAAGGGGAAGTGTTGACCGGAGAGTGCAAGAGACGAGTGCCCCTAGCACTGCTCTTACTTTGTAATGCTGACTTTTTTTCTTTTTTTTTTTGCTTTCCCATCAAAACAGTTATACATAAAATATTTTCACGTGAATGTGTCTGTTAGGAAAAAAAAAAAAAGAAAAAGAAAAATTATAATATTTGAACAAACGCTTATTCTTTGTAATGCTGACTTTTTTTTTTTTTTTTTTTGCTTTCCCATCAA